CGACCATGAGTAAATGGTGGCATCAGAGGAAAACGGAAAAAAATGGTTCGTGTCGAAGCACCGTGAGACGTGGAAATCACTCGCTCATAACGAGCTCATCAAGAGGCAGCGACAGATCACCAGAGTCGTCAACGCCGCATCGCACGGCCGCTTCACAGCCTTCAAAAGCATTGGCCGCACAGAGCAAAGGGCTCCCGGACAGATCGTGGCCACTCCGTCCACAGAGCGGGTGCGAATGCTCGAGACTCATACGAGGCGACTGCTCTGCCACCTGCCCACTCTCTCTAGCGGCGAGCGTGGGCTGCATCCTGTGCCCTGCGAGGCCGACTCGGAGCGTGTGGAGCCAACGATTCCCGTGGGCCCGGGCGACACCGGCCATACGTAAGAGCCGCCGGAGACTGACTCTGGCGTGGGCGCAAAGTGCCATCGCCGCCAAAGTTAACGCACGGGGGCTCCGGCAATGCGACGGGTGGCGATGGGGTTGGAGACGCTCGGAGCTTTTGCTGTGATAGACAGAGGTGGGCAGAGGCGGACGTACAATGGCTCCGGCGTTGTCACCGACAAATTATTCGGCCTACGATTCGGAGATCAAAGCCATCGCAGCGGCACGGGAAAAGAAAAAAAAACATCACAGATTTACACGACTCCAGCTGACACACAAAAATAACCCCTGAAAACAAAACACACGAATCTCAAATCCGAAATAAGCCGCGGGAAAATCCACACAAATGTTTCATCTGTCGCTACCGGGGGGGTGGGGGGGAGGAGGAAGCAGCGACATACGCCACGAACACGAGCGATGCTCGTACGCCGATCGTGGGGTACCGTGCGGCCCCCAGCCGTGCGCCCACCATCACGGCGCCCAATTAAATATTGCCGGGGAGCGGCTGGCAGCGAAGGTGTCTCTCTCTCGTGGGGCTCATTACAGCACTCATGGCGCTGCCTGTTCGCGTCTCGCCGTTTAGCGGCGGCTTGCAATAGGCCTCTCCTGTTTACACGGCCCGCTACCCGTGTTTCCGCCCCCCCGCGCCACCTCTCTCCCGGGTTTAACCGATTCTCTCTCGTCCGTGCCGCTCGCTCAACGACCCGTGTGATTTTTGGTGAACGCGCGCATGCCGGCGCTCGCGGCCCCCCACCCGCCGACCGGAGTTTTTCGCCGATTCTTCGGCGAGTCCGTCACACGCTCGCACGCGCCTGACGACTTCTTCGAATGTGCCCCGACGTGGACAGCAGCGCGGGGTTGAACCTCGTGCATGCCCCACGCCACTCCGGCTGAAACCTACGCGCACTCTCTCCACGTCATACATCGATACGTGGAGAGAGCGTGCGGTGCGTCACGTGCTTCACACACGGCGATCGCCCCGTGCAGGCGCCATCCGGCGGGCTCGCGTCTGCCCGGTTTCTGAGACTTGACAACATCGGGGCCCTGTCCCTTGGGTGATTTTGGTCATGTCTCCTCTCTCTCTCTCTTCAGGCACTCTCCCTCTCTTTGTAATGAATTTTGATAACTACTGTATGGGACGAGATACATTGCTTGACTGGTCCCTGGAGCCTAGTTAAAGGAGCTAAAGAGGAATCCGTACAAACGCAGCAAGTGTAAGAGGAAGAAAGAGCCTTTTAATGCAAAACAATTATCGGCGCTGCCACTTCCTCGCGATAAAACAACGCTTAAATACATAACCAATTATAACATGAAAACAACAACAACCAGGGAAGTGGCTGATGCCACCACTTCCAAGAGGATTCATAAAACCAACAAACATTGCACAAGCCATCACCATGAAACGCTCTCCAGCTGCGTAGCGACGAGCGCTTGAATACGCGGCGTTAACCCTCGCAGCGACGCTCTGGTAGCGTCGAGCTGGCAGCACCGAGCTGTTGCTGCTGCTTCTGGTTGTACCGTTGCTGCTGGTGCTGCTGTTTGTGCTGCTACTGTTGCTACTGTTATTGCTGGTGCTGCTGTTGCTGCTAGTGCTACTGGTTGTGCTTCTACTGTTGCTGCTGCTGCTGGTGCTACTGTTGCTGCTGGTGCTGCTGCTTCTGGTTGTACCGTTGCTGCTGGTGCTGCTGGTTGTGCTGCTACTGTTGCTACTGTTATTGCTGGTGCTGCTGTTGCTGCTGGTTGTGCTGCTACTGTTGCTGCTGCTGGTGCTACTGTTGCTGCTGCTGTTGCTGCTGGTTGTGGTGCTACTATTACTGCTGCTGCTGGTGCTACTGTTGCTGCTGGTTGTGCTGCTACTGTTGCTGCTGCTGATGCTGCTGGTTGTGTTGCTACTATTACTGCTGCTGCTGTTGCTGCTACTGTTGCTGCTGGTTGTGCTGCTACTGTTGCTGCTGCTGATGCTGCTGGTTGTGTTGCTACTATTACTGCTGCTGCTGTTGCTACTACTGTTGCTGCTGGTTGTGCTGCTACTGTTGCTGCTGCTGATGCTGCTGGTTGTGTTGCTACTATTACTGCTGCTGCTGTTGCTGCTACTGTTGCTGCTGGTTGTGCTGCTACTGTTGCTGCTGCTGGTGCTACTGTTGCTGCTGCTGGTGCTACTGTTGCTGCTGCTGTTGCTGCTGTTGCTGCTGCTGGTGCTACTGTTGCTGCTGCTGGTGCTGCTGGTTGTGCTGCTACTGTTGCTGCTGCTGGTGCTGCTGTTGCTGCTGCTGGTGCTACTGTTGCTGCTGCTGGTGCTGCTGTTGCTGCTGCTGGTGCTGCTGGTTGTGCTGCTACTGTTGCTGCTGCTGGTGCTACTGTTGCTGCTGGTGCTGCTGATGCTGCTGCTGGTGGTTGTGCTGCTGCTGGTGCTGCTGCTGGTGGTTGTGCAGCTGATGGTGCTTGTTCTGTGGGTACCGCTGCTGTTGCTGCCGCTGTGTGTCAGCTCGCCGATTGCGTGCGTTCGAGTCGTGGCGCTCGGTGTTGTTCAGCATCGATGTTCCGACATTCCGCTCCACGGGCCCCGGAGCTTCTTCAGCGGGGGGGGGGGGGGGGGACTTGGAGAATTCAGCTCCCAGCATGCAGAGCGAAACGTCGGATAATCGTGCTGAACAACGCGCGGTGCGATCACTGCGCGTTTATCGGTATAAGTCCAGAGGTCCCGCCGGTTTGATCCATTTCCGGGCGAGGCAGAGTTGAAACGACGGGTCCTCCGGTCCCCCCCCCCCCCCCCATATTTAGAATCAACACGCGTTTAGAGTATTTGGCTGCTATAAATTTGCACGAGATAAGCCACTTTGTTGAGCTATCAGTTGGGGCCAGGTCGCTTCTGAAAAAGAGCTACATAGCTCAGTGGGCCTTACCTGGTAAAATAATCATCGTTTAGTTTAGTCTCTGCCTGCTGTTGTGTTCTAGATATTGTCAACAGCTGCCTAACAGCTGCAGTGTGACAGCTGTAGTGGTGACTGCTGTAGGGTGACAGCTGTAGTGTGACAGCTGTAGTGTGACAGCTGTTGTGGTGACAGCTGTAGTGGTGACAGCTGTAGTGTGACAGCTGTAGTGGTGACAGCTGTAGTGGTGACAGCTGTAGTGTGACAGCTATAGTGTGACAGCTGTTGTGGTGACATCTGTAGTGTGACAGCTGTAGTGGTGACAGTTGTAGTGGTGACAGCTGTAGTGTGACAGCTATAGTGTGACAGCTGTTGTGGTGACAGCTGTAGTGTGACAGCTGTAGTGGTGACAGCTGTAGTGGTGACAGCTGTAGTGTGACAGCTGTAGTGTGACAGCTGCTGTGTGACAGCTGTAGTGTGACAGCTGTAGTGGTGACTGCTGTAGGGTGACAGCTGTAGTGTGACAGCTGTTGTGGTGACAGCTGTAGTGGTGACAGCTGTAGTGTGACGGCTGTAGTGGTGACAGCTGTAGTGGTGACAGCTGTAGTGTGACAGCTATAGTGTGACAGCTGTAGTGGTGACAGCAGTAGTGTGACAGCTGTAGTGGTGACAGTTGTAGTGTGACAGCTGCTGTGTGACAGCTGTAGTGTGACAGCTGTAGTGGTGACAGCTGTAGTGGTGACAGCTGTAGTGTGACAGCTGCTGTGTGACAGCTGTAGTGTGACAGCTGTAGTGTGACAACTGTAGTGGTGACAACTGTAGTGGTGACAGCTGTAGTGTGACAGCAATAGTGTGACAGCTGTTGTGGTGACAGCTGTAGTGTGACAGTTGTAGTGTGACAGTTGTAGTGGTGACAGCTGTAGTGTGACAGCTGTAGTGTGACAACTGTAGTGTGACAGCTGTAGTGTGACAACTGTAGTGGTGACAACTGTAGTGGTGACAGCTGTAGTGTGACAGCAATAGTGTGACAGCTATTGTGGTGACAGCTGTAGTGTGACAGTTGTAGTGTGACAGTTGTAGTGGTGACAGCTGTAGTGTGACAGCTGTAGTGTGACAGCTGCTGTGTGACAGCTGTAGTGTGACAGCTATAGTGTGACAGCAGTAGTGTGACAGTTGTAGTGGTGACAGCTGTAGTGTGACAGCTGTAGTTTGACAGCTGCTGTGTGACAGCTGTAGTGGTGACAGCTGTAGTGTGACAGCAGTAGTGTGACAGCTGTAGTGGTGACAGCTGTAGTGGTGACAGCTGCTGTGTGACAGCTGTAGTGTGACAGCTGTAGTGTGACAGCTGCTGTGTGACAGCTGTAGTGTGACAGCTGCTGTGTGACAGCTGCTGTGTGACAGCTGCTGCGTGACAGCTGTAGTTGTGACAGCTGTAGTGGTGACAGCTGTAGTGTGACAACTGTAGTGGTGACAGCTATAGTGTGACAACTGTTGTGGTGACAGCTGTAGTGGTGACAGCTGTAGTGTGACAACTGTAGTGGTGACAGCTATAGTGTGACAACTGTTGTGGTGACAGCTGCTGTGTGACAGCTGTAGTGTGACAGCTATAATGTGACAGCTGTAGTGGTGACAGCTGTAGTGTGACAGCTGTAGTGGTGACAGCTGTAGTGTGACAGCTGCTGTGTGACAGCTGTAGTGTGACAGCTGTAGTGTGACAGCTGTTGTGAATCAGCTGTTGTATTTCTTACCTGAGCCGAGGTGGAAGCGGATTGGCCGAGTGGAGGGGCCCAGCAGGTCGCCCTGGCACACAGCCTGCACCCTCACCAGGTAGGTGATGCCGGCCGACACGTTCTGCCACAGCAGGCTCTGCGCCACACACCACACAGAAGTAGTCAGCGACAGCGTCTCGTAAGCACTCGCGCACGCTACCCACGGCGCGAACGGCCGAGCCATTCCTATCCGCAAAACCACCGTCACTGGAGCTCGGATGACACTTCATGTGGAGAGGAAGAATATCTCAATCTCGCGGAAGTTGGGAGGACTAGGGTACACACGCGACCGGAGTATAATTCTTACGACTAAGCAACGACAAAAAACTGAGCTTTTAACGTCCCAGCAAGAATCCCAGATTCCCAGGATGGCAGCAAGAGGACGGACCCTGGGGACACCAGGAAAGTGAAATGGGGACGCGTGGTGCGATGTGTGGAGCGACACACGGAGTGACGCGTGGAGTGATGTGTGGAGTGACGCGTGGAGCGACACACGGAGTGACGCGTGGAGTGACACGTAGAGTGACGTGTGGATCAAGGCCAGGACCCCGAGCGGCCGATGGAGGCCGCGAGGCGCCACGCTCTGCTATGGCCGCGCCGGGCGACTTCCCCCGCATGCCCGGCGCACTCAGCGCCGCCACTCTCCCCCTCCATCACAGCGCGACAGCTTCCCTGCGTGGGGTCCGCCCGTGTTGGTTTAGTGCTGCATAATGTCACCTACGTTTTTATTTATTTCCACAAATGTATGACGTTCCGCTGGCACTGGCAGTGCACGCGTGCTGCGTGAGTGGTGGCGTAGCGGTTAGCGCGCTGCGCTACGAACCCGGCGACCCGAGTTCGATTCCCACTCACGGCCAACACCGGTAACGATTATCTGAACCGGTCCTGGGCCTCCTCCCCAACTTCAACTCAGTCTCAAATGAGTACCCGATGCGGTGTGTAAACATTGCCACTGGGGAGACAAAGGCGATCGGGCGTGGTGCTGGCCACCCACCCCCTCGTGTGCCGTGCCGGCCTTCATTCAGTGCTCGCTAGCAGCACTTGCTCCTACAGTCTGTTAAGGCTACACGGGGAATCTTTGTCCATGTTGTGTGTTTGTGTCCTTTTCGGGATTTAAAGCGACCGTGATCGTCGCTGTCATCGTCAGGGGTCCATCGAACGTTTCCACGTCACCGCGGTTTGGCACACAGCGTCGCGTCCAGGCGAGGGGTGTCGCACCGGGAGGCTCGTTCCCATTCAGGAGACGCGTCGGGCCCGCGTATTTTTGTTTCTCTATTTTAAGCCACCCTTAGAATAAAATGTTTTTCCAACCCATATTTCATTGCATTGCGTGCAAAGTGCCCTGGGGACAGCCTGGCGTGAAGGGCGTTCTATCAAACACGAAAACTCTAATGACTGCCCCTTCAAGTCATCCGCGTTGCGCTCCGTTTACTGGCGGGACGGAGAGCTGTAGTGGAGCGACGCACGAGGGTTCGGGGCGCAGGGTGAGGCGGCCACCTCCCCTGCTGGCGGTGGGAAAACAAACAGAAGGCAAAAACCAAATAACTCTTGAGAGAAATATTAAATATTTACACCTAATTCACTTTCTACTGGTTGGGTGTGGTGGTGGGGGGGTTGCCAGCAAGTGCTCCAAGGCACTAAATTAAGTTTTTTTTTCCCCCACTCCGTTTTTATTTCCTTCGCAAACACGCCGAAGAGAGAGAGAGAGAAAATAAACCCTAACCCAGCGTAACAAAATAAAATGGCTGATCTCATGGCTTCCGCTGCTGTGAATCAAATTTACAAAATTTGCTGTCCGAACGAATGTGCGGGTCGAGTGAAATATTGGAAGAGAACTCTCGGGGCCAGGACGGCCGCTGAGGCTTGGATCGCCCGCTACGACCCCCCCCCAACCCGGGCACCCCCACCACCCAAGACAAAGATCCCCCGTATAGTCTTAACAGACTGTTGGGCCAAGTGCTGTTAGCGAGTAGCACCTGTGAATGTTGGCACGGCACACGAGGGGGCGGTGGCCAGCACCACACCCGACCCCTTTGGCTCCCCAGTGACGATGTTTACACACCAGGCCCAGGACCGGTTCAGGTTATCGTCACTGGTGTTGGCAACCGTGAGCAGGAATCCAACTCGGTTCGCCGGGTTCATAGCACAGCGCGCCAACCTCCCCACACCGTGTCAGCCACCAGCTTCGTTCCCTCACACCCACTAACAGCCCCCCCACCGCCGCCCCAGATTCTCACGCGATAACGGGTCTGACAGCCGCGGCCTCATTTCTGATGACCGCACAAAAAGCACGGACAGCGGCACGGAGGAGGAGAAACGCCGCGGACACGGCGGCTGTGAACAACGCGGCGCGAATCGAATTATGCGGCGTTGGAGTAGCGCGGCGGCTCCGCTCGCAAAGTTAGCTCGAGGACGTTATTCAACCGCATGAACCCGGCCCGCAATTGTCATGATGGCGAAGCTCACTAATCTGACAGGTTTGCCTGCTTGCATTTTAAAGCTGGTTTAATTTAATCCACTACGGGCACCGCATTATTGTATTCAACAGTGCTGCTGCTCCGCTGCCTCCACACCACCACCACCTCCTCCTCCTCCCGCCCTCCCCCCTCGCCCAGACCGTCGCTCCATCATTCAAGTGGCAGGAGGTCATAACGCAAATTCCACGGTGCTTAAACTGCCTCCCTAAAAAAATTCAGGAAACGAAACGTTAAGAATGCCAGCCGTTCTCCATCTCCGCGCCACGTCGCAGCACGGCGAGAGGAGTTTCAACCACACCGCTGGTTAGCGCGAGTTGGTGAAGGGGGTGGAAGGGCAGGACCGCTTCTGATCTTACTGGGCCACTGATGTTAGGCCGTGGACGGAAAGCGGACACGGGTCACTGGGTTCACAGCGCAGTGCACTAGCCGCTGCCCCACCGCTTCCCCCCGCCCACCCCCCGACCTGAAATATTCCACAACCATGTAAAAAAAAGAATCGCGTGTAAATCCCGCACGAATCATTAAAAATGTCACAAAGATCCAATAAAGCACGGGTAACGCGGTGCTGTGTGTGGGGCGGTGGAGGGGGTGGGGGGTAGGGGGGGTGAGGGGGGATGGAAGGGGGTGTGGGGAGGGCTGCCCCGAGTCTTAAACCGTCCCTCACGTCTCTCCGTCGGGGCCGCTCCCCGTCCGCGTTCGCACGCTGTCTCTCCGCGCTGACGCCTGCCTTTCAAAGCAATTAGGTTATTTTATTGCAATTGCAGGCAATAAATAAATAAAAATAATGGGAAGTTATTATCGTCAAGATGTCACAAAGGCACAGCTGTCAACCCGGGTTTGAAATAAAAAAAATATATAAAAAAACATTTGCGATTAAATTGAACCCGCGCAACTCGTCTGTTTCCCATCGAGCGCGGGGTTGGCCGGCGTTCTGATGCCTCTCGTGACGCGTGCGGCCGCGTGTGGTGTAGCCCAGGTCTCCGCTTAAGCGGGGTAGTGGGAGGGGTGGGAGTTGTAACCTTAATAAAACATTTCTAAGCTGACAACGAAGGCGGCTATTGCCCGGTGATCAAGTCAACCCTGTTGACACGCTCGGCGTTCCGCACGGTGGGACAGCGCCGTGGCGGGTAGCAGAGTCCAGTGATCGGTGGGCCGTTGATGGCTGTGCGTCTCCCCCATTGAGTGGTCGGTAGGCACCCTGCTTGAATCAGAATCGTAGTCAGAAGTTGTATTCCCCACCGAGGAAAGTCCGTAGAGCTAAGAAGCTCTTTTTTTGTCAAGGGCGACCCGGCCAGCAGACGACGTCGCGGCGTTGAGCGTGACGCTGACGCGGGGGGGGAGGGCATTCCGCTCTTTTGCGGATGCCGACCAACGGGATTCGCTAACGTCCACCGCTGCGAAGCGGACGCGGCACTCACTAGGCGCGTTGACACGCACGCCGCGGCAGTCATTCACCGGGGCGGCCACTCGCCCTGAACCGCGAGCCTCTACAACGAGCAGCGACCTCCCGGACAAGCCCAGGCTCGGCTGGGCTGGGCATGGTAGATTTATTATTTGTATAATTTATTATGAAAATTATTTATATGATCATGTTTTAATCTAAGCTAAGCTATTTTCTATTTTACCAGGCAAGGCCCACTGAACTATATAGCTCTTTTTCAGAAGCGACCTGGCCACAAATGATAGCTCAACGAAGTGGCTTGTCATCATCACGTGGAAATGTATAGCATCAACCAAATACCTTACTCCAAAAGCGCGATGTTGATTCTAAATATGGAGGGGAAAACCGGAGGACCCAGAGAAAAATCCACGTTACCACGGGAAGAGAGAGAAACACCGCAAACTCCAAATATACATCCATAATAGAGGTGTTTTTGGGTTAGATCACGTAAATATATAAATGTGTCATTAAAACCCGCCACCACCCGACACAGCCAACTAGTAAGGGCTGTCACAGCAGGTGTCAGGGTCGGCATCGAACTCACGACCTCCTGCATACCAGGCGAGGGAGATAACATCTCGCCACCGCCGCGCCCATCCAACTCGCCGCTGTCCCGTCCCGCACGGAGCAACAACCAGCGCCCGTCCCGTCCACGAGGACGAGTGACCTCACGTCTCCGGGGTCGGCAAGTCGCCCCCGAGCGCTCTGTGCGTCGTGCCGATGACCCCGCGCGAGCCCACAATCTGGAGGGAGGGGAATGGTGGTGGGGGGGGTGGAGGGGAGCCGCTAGGGGGGAAGATGATTCGCGCACGGCTGTTTTGGGTCGTGCAGGTGATGACGGGAGGCATCACGGCGAGGCCGCCCACGCGTGGAGGCATTGTGTGTAACTAGACCGCCACCGCTGCTCTGGAGATTTGAGCCAAGGCCGATTGAAAAAGAGTTTACTTTTTTTAAAGGAGAATATTTACTTGTGTAGACAAGGAGGGATTTAGAGTCTTACAAGCCAGCTGGTCCTTGCTCAGGAAACAAAACTCCTGCTAGGTTATTTTTCACTCTCAGAGTAAAGTTGGACGTGTGTGAATGCATCAGCTGTGTCTGCCCGCCCGCTCGTCCGTCAGGAGCAGGCGGTCACAGTGACTCTTGCAACAGATGATCCGAAACGAATGGGGACTTCGCTGT